ACTATATTCCCAGGTTTGTTCAGGGCATTTTCCATCCTGCGCCAGTATTTTTTTTAGAGACAGCCGTCTTTCAACCGCAGTTATACATCGATTGAAAAACGAAGACTGTCAGCTTCCCGAGACGAGCGCAAACAAAAACATTTATGATAACTGCATCTGCTGATCGCCTGGTGAATCATATTAAATCAAACTTACACTACACATTTACAAACACCAGAAACTATTTTAGAGTTTGATTTAATAATAAACCATGGCTTGTATAGATTTTCCTTCATGGATCATTGCCGAATACACTCTGTCATAATGAAATGAAATTCTGTATTCTGCACATGATGAAGCTTTACGGACATTATGAAGTAAATAACCATTATTAAGTCGATATTCTTTCAGTCTGGCTGTTGTCCAGTCACTTCGATGCAACAAATATGCGAACATATCAGCTATTTCAAACAAAGGCAAGGGTTTTTTTGCCAAGTTTTTACGTTACACGGATCTACCAGAGTTATCGTCGACTCACTGTGTTTTACTGTACGACGACGATTTTTTTTTACTCTTGGCGAACATTTAACTCGTTTGCTAACTCAACAAGTTCAAAAAGTTTAGCTTTACGAACATTAATATTGCTGCAAGTTATACCACGATCCCGAAGAAATTTGCGGAGTTCTGGAACTTTTTTGCTTTTCCAATCTATTGATTTACGCATGTAAGAATACAGAACTTCAATAAAAACAACCCCACTCAGGCTCGTCATCCGGGTATTTTGGATGCGCCCTCTAGCGGAATTCCGTAGAAAACTAACAACTCGAAAATTAGGAATTGACTTTGGTAATTTGAATAACAATCGTGTAGCATGCTCTGTACAAAAGACGGTAATACTAGTACATGTATGTTAAAATTCGCCCTCTATCTATCAATTGCACAGTGGCAAACCACGTCGAATAATTGAAAAAAGAAGAAGATTTCCTATTAAACCAAACATTGTTGAGTGGACCTGGTATTTAGAAGAACCGGATGTAATTAATATTAATATTGACTTTGTTCAGCCAAACTTCTAGTATTCTCCCAACTATCACTCCATTAACAAACATTTATGGGCAAGACAAATACTATATGTAGCATTTTATACCTGATCGTTATCGTCTGACATATTTAAGTTAGGATCGCTGTCATTATCAGTGCCCTTCAATGCATGTGATGCAATCCAAACTGAACGCGGTGTCGTTTTTTCGCAGATTACATATTAAGATCAAACTTAAGGATGAGACCAAGGTTCGTGGCATATTTCTGTACATTTCTTTGCATATTTTCAAATGTTGCAAAGTTGTCTTCACACTAGTAAAACAAAAACGTTAATTTCGTACTTAGAAATGTGCTAAATATTAATAGAAATTATAGTGCTTTTCTTCAATGTACATGTCAAGCTGTACATGTCTTCTGTATTTGTTTTTAAATTCCCTTTCCTTCTTTCTTCTCACATAAACTGCGTAGAGCATTGTTGTGAACACTTTACATAAAAGCCATATGAAAAAATCCCTGTGCCCTCTCCCCAAATAAATGCGCTACACATTGCGTCTATGGGGTGCAAGGGACTGTGAGCAGACCCCCCCCCCCCATTCAAAATCCCTTCCGCCGCCTCTGCAATACGACCCCCTCCCCCGTACAGTAACAATCTCTGGTTGCCGGCCTGGTTCGTCTGTATCGCAAAAATAAAACATGAATAACGATGGTCACTAAATTGGCCAATATCTGCTCAGTCATCTCTACAATAACATTTGCACTTTTGCACGCATTGCCCTCGTGTCCCTCCCTGTCTGGGTCATGGACACCGAGACGGTTGACTGGACTAGACTGGCTCATTGATTAAATCGTCCTCGACCGCAACTTACATTTGCACTTTAAATTTGGGACAATAATATAAATAAAAACACCTAACAGTAATATTTAAAGAATATTCAAGTTTACAATGATTTAATAGGGAATGCAATACACATGTGCACGACAAAGACGTCACATGAGATACATATGTTTACCTAAATGGCAGGCATTCTGTAGCCGCTTTATTTGCTGACCTCTCAGTGGCTGTACTATTTGGTTTGATCTCGTCCATTGACACAAAACACATGAATAGTGGTGTGATCTTATATTGTCAACACACCGAACTCACCTTTCAATAGTTGTACAACTTATGGTTGAACCATTATTACGTGGGGGGGGGGGTTAGGGTTATAAATGATGATTGGCTACACATATGGTGGGATATTTAATTCACAATACCTCTCAGCTAATGCATATGTAAATGTGCTAGCTTTTTAGTAATTAGTATTATTTTCTCGTGCAATAAACAATAAAATAATAAAAAAATCTAACCTATCGCGTGGTTTTGCACTGCCTTAGTAGAGAGCGGTGCAGATCATATATTAAAAATATTAAACAAAATAAATTCAGTGGACTATTTTGATTTGAGATATATATGACAAGCATTGCATTCATTCGTTCTTTCGTTCATTTATACATTTGACTCCTTCAATATACGCTATTCCCATATAACTAATAGTTTCGCCCAAAGTTAACACTTTGCGTTCATTGGCTGCTACGTCCTTGACAGACGTCTTGATTTAGTGATTGCAAACAAAATAATAAATCTACAATTAACCCAAATAGACTGATTTAGATTGTATTGTTATTCTAGAGTGCTATTCTGTCAATCACGTTATCTAGTTATTAATTAACGTGGAATGACACCTCATTATACTTAAATCAAGATATCTGTGCAGTTTACTCGCAGGCTTACAGACAAGAAACATCGAGTTGAGAATCTGTGACCAGTTCAGCGGATATTTGTATCTAGACGTTACCAGTGCGCCGCAAGAAGACGACAGAAATGAAGAGCACAATTGTTACATCACTGTTTGTGGTTTTGCTGATGTCATTGGTGAGATTGCATTTATTATTTGTTATAACAATTTAAACTTGTAGGTGGTTGTGATATACCAAGTTGGTTTGTTTCATTGAAAAAGCATGTACGTTTTGATGCATTGCAATCTTAGAGAAAGAAAACATCAAACATAACATTATCCCTAACAATATTCGGTCACGGTTAAGGCTTGCAAACAAGAAACATCGAGTTAAGAATCTGTGACCAGCCTGAGTTCTGTAGAAAGTCGAAGTTTGCAATCTTAAAGAAAAAGAATATCTAAAACAACAATTTTTGTAACTACTGTAGAATATAGCTGCATGCAATTTAGTGGATTGACTCTAAATCTCAATTTAGCTAAAGTGTTCACTATCTCCCTGTGAGAATATACTTTCTGTTAAATTAGCTGCATCTTGAATTAGCGAAATTACAGATTAGCTAAAATAGCTAAAATAACATGCTAGCTAAAAAGACAAAAGACATCCGTTAAGTTTGAAGTAAAATGCCGAATCATAAAAATATTTTATATGAGCACACTTCGTCATACGTTTTATCTTGTACTTTAATAGTACCATAAAATGCGACAAATCACGCGATACCTCGAGTACATTAAGTAATATGTATACGGTCCAAAAGACATTTGCAGAGAAAATGATGAATTCAGATCCACAAACTTATACCAAGTATGTATACGATAAATACCGCCAGGCATTGCTGAATATTGTGGATGTGTATTTGAAGGTCGTTTTTTTAACAACAGCAACGGTGATGTTTTGGTAAAATAACTTGAGGTCAATGTCATTAAAAGGGCATTCTTGAGACTTGTTTACATGTTGTTTGTACTGCGGTCGGACGTGCCTAATGACGTAGGTGTTTTCGTGCTTACGCCACTTTTAAATAACAACATTAGCCAAATAAGGGAGTCACGTGATTACTTCAAGGCAATTACTACAATGCGTATCAGACTGAAAACATTTACCGCTTGCATCACGTGACGACTTTTTTTGCTTACAGAGTCAGATCATGGAGGTAAAAAGAGACCTCCATGGTCAGATTGACTTCTGCATAATTTTTTAACTTTACCAAATTTGTTTGAATTGTTCATTCATTCTAACTGGTAACCTGCTGCTCATGATTTGCCCAGTATAATAGGTCTGTGGTGCGTTATTCTCAAAGAGCAAATAAATTCCTAAAATCGTACGTTGTAGGGTCGTACGTGTCAGGAACACGTGACCGTTTTGAGACCGTGCGATGCTCAAGGGGCGCTTCCAGTTATTAAGCATAATCTCACAAGAAATTTACTGTCTGGATTAAAATCACAATGGATAACAAAAGATTTATATTGTAAACAGCATAAACAATAGTGTCCCATGATTCTTTGGTGCAATCCCTGGGTTTGGAAGGTTCCCCTTTAACAGAAGTCCCGGACATCCTACAACACTACCGTACTTTATTTATTGTTCGGCAAAATTATTTCACGTACTCGCTGCATATCCATTCATAAACAGCATTTTTTCTCAACAATTTCGTATTCCTTCGACCTTTTTTGTAAACACCTGCTATGACCACCCGAGGCAGATAGTCGAACGCACTCATGTATTGTACAACATACGATAATGCATACTTTGTTTTGAATTTAACGTAAAAAAAATTATATGTCACGTGTGTTCCATTCGGAGCCAAGGGAACAAAGTGATTGTATATTAACCTGGGTGAACTCAGTCTGCAATACGTGGTTAGCGTCCGCCCAACATGAGGGAGATTGCTTCCCTGTTGACATACACATATCACGTTGCACTTGGATATTGTTTAGATATTTGCTATTTTAATTTTTGAATTTAGAATAGTGTGCCATGATTTATTTCGGAGATTGTTTTTTCATACAACAACTGCCATGCAATTTCTTTGCTCTCTTCAAGACCCCCTGCCATGACTTCAAATTGTCGACCTCTTAGGCAAACTCGTCGCTTTCCGCCCGAGTTCATTAATGGGACAACGGTGGCGTGTTCGTCACCTGACAGAGTGTGATGACCTCAAGTAGCAGACAAAATATCGCGCGATAGTGCTATTTGTCACTTTGCAGTAGCTACGGCACAGGGGCAGCAGGCGGCCGCCCCTCGAAAAAAATGTTGTGTCAGCAAAATTTGCCCCTCAAAATTTTTAAGGGGGAGAATGTCCCGGACCCCCCAGTATGGTCGCACCTTGAGCAGATTCGCCCCATGCACAATTTCGTGCTTCTGCCCCTGTTTTGCACAAACAAATCTAAGTGCCACGAGTTTAAGACAAGACGTAGATGTTCTAATTCTTAATATCGGCATGTTTTGGTTGATGATATTTAGTGGACCTTAATTTTCATGTCTTGTATAATCTGAACACGTCTTATTTTCCTTTTTGTTTTTGCTGATCTAGAAAAATTTGAAAACCAACTCGACGTGTTTTCTTCTTGTTTAAATAATTATGTTAATTTGTTATTATTGTACCTTGTTTGGAATAATGAAGTACGATTTGTGGTAAAAGAAAAAAGGTACATTTGACGGCACTATTCTTTCAATAAATGCGCATATCCCAGATTTACTTATACGTACAAATAATTCAGAGCGCATGCGCTCTGGCGTTTTCACAACCCATAGCATCGAAAGAATTCCTCCATGTTTTTATTTTACGGCAAATCATACTCCAAGCTTTTTATTCAAATACATTTATATACAAACTTGCTCATAAAAATACTCAAAGTTATCCACATTGCCTCTTAAAACATTATTTCTTATAACTATATAATATATTTACCTACAGACATACGTCAACACAATGGCCGATGACACGGACAGTGGCAGCTGGTACAGTCCAGGTGTGTTTTACGTATTCCTATTTTTTCATTTCTCTGGCGATTTTCACACAAATAAAATAACATAACATAAACCATACGACTTACCATTAATATCAGTATTCGGATAGAACATATAGCCAATATCGAATGTTTAACAACATTACACTTACCAATAAACGTTATATTTTGCCATTTACCTCGCTTTCGAGTCTGTTTGTTTGCCAGAAGAACGCAACACGATTTTCTCGGTCCAACTTGTTTTCCACCGAGGTTTCACAGTGCTGCAAACTAATTATTTTATTTTTCTCATGTCTTTCAATTAATTATCAGGAAACCTGTTTTACAACACGTTAGAAGTTATCGATTACATTTCGTCAGATGAAAAGGTGTGCGGGGCCTGGATTGAACAAGACGGCGTACACGTGGATCTCTGCAAAGGCAGAGTTTTTGTGCTGTAAATAACGCTATCAACGACGGTATGACCGCAGGATGGCCCGTTTGCCACTTAAGTTGCTACGTCATCAGTGATGAATGCTACAATTATTGATTTGAACTTCCAGAAAGAACTATCTACCAGTTGAGGGCAGTATACAGTCTAAGACCAAGAAAAACACATTGCACTGCATTTATTTGAAGAACGTTTACAGCGAGATGAAAAGTCCCACTGAAGCAACTTTTTAAAGAATTGTTGTGTTGAGTAATTCAAAAATCTGTTTTTTGAGTTTGAAACTGTTTAAGTGTTCATTTGAAAAATATGTAATGTACGCTACCGTGGTTTACACGTCGGATTTGCCTTTGTTTGGTTTTGGCTTTGATAGAGACAAAAGTACATTTCTTTAATATTTGTGTAAATATTCTATTTTTACAACTATTGAAATTCGATGAATAATGTTATAATGTATATATATCTGACTGATATTAAGGCAGATTATTATTTTATACAATCACGAATAAAATACGCATCTTGTTTTTACCAGTGTTGATGATTAATTCACTCCAATGTGAACGACTTACGACAACACTTCATAAATGGTTATTATAAGTATTTGTTTTTTAAACATAAGAATGAATCCTGCGAAAAAAACAAAACAATCTCGACTCATGTTGGAGCAAAGCAATCACGTTTCGTATTAAAACACACTAAATTCTACTCATGTTAGAACTATCCAATTACTATTCATGTTAGAGCAAACCAATCACTGCCCATGTTAGAACAAACCAATCACCATTCATGTTAGAACTATCAAATCACTACCCATGTTACACTATCCAATCCCTACCCATGTTAGAACAAACCAGTCCTTACTCATATTACAACAAACCAATCACTAGCCATGCTAGAACAAACCAATTACTATTTATGTTAGAACAAACCAATCACTGCCCATGTTAGAACAAAAAAATCACCATTCATGTTAGAACAATCCAATCACTATTCATGTTAGAACAATGCAATCACTGCCCATATTACAACAAACCAATCACCATTCTTGTTAGTACAAACCAATCACTACTCGTGTTAGAAAAGAAAGGTGTGCTCGCAGGCACTTAGTGTACAGAGCAATGCTGCTTGAATGATTTATAAGCCTCATATATAATCACGATCGGTGAACTTAGGCCAATTTCTATTCATTTATGGTAGTTTAAAGCTGTCCATATTTTTTATCATGGTATTCCATCACTACTTCTTATCAGGAATAGCAAATAACATAACGTATGTACAAACACATGTGTGAGCATTTTGGTGTGGTATACGATTAATCTGTGCAGATTATATTGAATAAAAGAAAGACAAATACCTCCAGTATAATTTAAGATATATATTGCAATTAATGCATGTATTTATTTATTTATTTATTTATTTACTTATTTACCTTTAATTAATGTACGGCGTACCCATACAACTAATGGTTTCGCCCAAAGTTCATTGGCTGTTACGTCCTTGACAGACGTCTTGATTTAGTGATTGTAAACAAAACATAAATCTACAATTAATCCAAATAGACTGATTTAGATTGTATTGTTATTCTAAAGTGCTATTCTGTCAATCACGTTATCTAGTTATTAATTAACGTGGAATGACACCTCATTATACTTAAATCAAGATATCTGTGCAGTTTACTCGCAGGCTTGCAGACAAGAAACATCGAGTTGAGAATCTTTGACCAGTTCAGTGGACGTCGAAATTTGCAATCTTAGAGAAAACAATATCAAAAACAACAATTTCCATAACTATATTCCGTTAAGTTTGAAGTAAAATGGTATATTATAATGAAAATATTGTATATGAGCAAACTTCGACATACGTTCTATATTGTACTTTAGTAGTACCATAAAATGCGACAAATCTCGCGATACCTCGAGTACATTAAGTAATATGTATACGGTCCAAAAGACATTTGCAGAGAGAATGATGAATTCAAACACATAAACGTATACCAAGTATACGATAAATACAGCCAGGTATTACTGAATATGTGGATGTGTATTTGGAGGTCGTTTTTTTAACAACAACAACAACAACAACGGCGATGTTTCGATAAAAATAACTTGATCGTCGGCAGACGTGAAGTCAATGTCATTTAAAGGGCATACTGGTGTACTATGATCAAACGTGCCCGATGACGTGCGTGTTTTCGTGTTTACGCCACTTTAAAATAACGATATTAGTCATATAAGGGAGTCACGTGATTAATTCAACATACACCGCTTGCATCACACGACGACTTATTTTTGCTTGCAGAGTTAGATCTTGTGTCTTTGGTCAGATTGACCTCTGTATAATTTTTGTTCGTATACCAGTTATGTTTCTCGTTTTGCGTGTTATTCTCAAAGAGCAAATAATTTCCAAAAGTCGTCCGTTTTATTCGTAATGAAAATCACATTTCTGGCTATGTGATCATGTGATGGTATCGAATAGTAATCCAACTAATCGTAGTTCCTCCTAGTGACGTCACATTTATAATCAGAGTGCTTTCCGGGAAAGTTGTATAATAACCCCTAATCGGGGCAGAACAGTAATACGTGACCGTTTTGAGACCGTGCGATATAGAACACAAATCTCGGTCATTCTACAATTGTCACTAATGTACTTGTTGTTCGACAAAATTACTTCACGTACTTCATATTCATTCATAAACAACATGTTTACTCAACTATTTCGTCGTCCTCCGACCTGCCCGGTACTGTGAACACATGCTATCGGCGCCC